CCTAGACCTTTTAATGAAGCGCCTGTCAAAGCCAAATAAGTTCCGACTTCACCATCCATCCTTGGCAAAAAGAAAGAACCACCAACATCAGGAAAAAATCCAATTTTTGTCTCAGGCATGGCAAATACAGTGTTTTCTGTTGCGACACGAAATGGGGCATGAACGGAAAGTCCAACACCACCACCCACTTTATGAATGGCAATCAATGAGAAAAACCATGAATAGGATCTTTAACTATTGCTTACCGATGTAAACGATTGTGATCGGAAACAAGACGTACTGGTAATACCGTCTAAGAATGAAACAAACGGCTTGTCTAACGTGGCAATAAGATGATTGAGTTGATATTCTTCTTCAAAAAATTTTATAGCATGTTGACCTTCGCCATGTTCTACATTTTCAATGACACCTGGTAAAATACATAAACATTTAATTATTTTTTTTTCAGTTAACAAAGGAATTTAGACTATTATCATGCATACGTTTAACATCTCCACCGGCACAGAAGGCCTTGTTTCCAGTAGCTTTAAGAATAATAACTTTACATAAATCCGATTCATTCCAAGCCTAACAATTATGATTAAAACGCTTTGTTAAAAAAATAAACGACAAATTTAAAGTACTCACTAACCTGTAATTGGGGTGTAATTTTTCTGATCATACTAAGATCTAGAGCATTATAAGCAGTTGGTCGATTTAATATAAAAATGCGACTTCCGAATATCCTTTTATGAAGTACGTCCGCCTGAGAGCAACAATTGGTTTAGCGATATTTTGTTTGATAGTCTCTCACGGGTGAAGGCTTAAGGAATACCTGAGGAGGATCCATATTTGACGTGGTAGACATGTACTAACGCCAACAGGTTAATTAAGAACGTTACTTTAGCAAATTTCTATAAAAAAAGAGAGCTTCTGAGATTGTACTAACTTTTTTGAAGCCGCAATATCTTATTGTTCGGAAGACATGGCGATACATAGCGATATTAACAAGTTAGTCAGGATTGCTTAGAGTGTCCAAATGATTGGTTAAACAAAATTTACTATCACGGCTTGTTTACGTATTTATTATACGTAGAGTCGATTGAGTTGTTGATTAGAAGTCAATTTTACAGTTTTTAAATATTTAAATCATTTGTGTTTAACAGTTTATCTGGGATAGCCACACATTATGTTCCATCACAACGATTGCCACTTTTGGAAAATCGGCTAAGTGAGATTGAATGTGATGACCATGAAGTTATAAACGCAGCAATCGAAGAATTTGTTGCTGAACATAATCATGATCATTCTTATGCTCTTGGTGGAAATGTCAGAAAATCGATTGATCGGTAGGTCATAATATGAAAATAAATTTTGATTGTTAAAATTTATTAACAAGTATTTAAAATAGATGTTTCAAGGGAGATAGTGTTGAAGATATCTTAAAAGCTTTGGAGCAAGAAAACTCAAATTGGTCTAGGGAAACAATAAACACAATTTTACAGATGTCACCCACGAGTTTGAAAGTGAGTAATTTGTTTATCATTTTGGTTAATTATTAAATTGACATATTTTTTTATATTCAATAAATTTGTGTATTGTTGAAAGGTTACATTGAAAGAATTGCGTAAAGGAAAGAATATGGTCATAACGGATTGTTTTAAAATGGAATACAAACTTGCACAAAAATTCTTGGTAACTTGATGAATAAAATAATAATAGCTTTACTGTCGCAATTCAATATGAATCACTATTTATTTAATATGAATTTTCCATTTAACACAGGAAAAGTCTGATTTTGCGAGAGGTGTCAAGCACCTTCTTGTCGATAAAAAAAAAACGCCTCCAAAATGGGATCCACCATCTTTAGAGGAAGTTTTTGATGTTGATATTGATGAATTCTATTTTAATCCCTCTGGCACACAAGAGCTTGAACTATTGAACATACGTTCATTTGAAAATTATCCATTTTCGAGATTTAGCCGCAGAGATGATAATCGATTAGGGAATCGATTATAAAAAAAATTTTTTTTTTAATATGGTCAGTCGATAAATGATCTAACATATTCGATTATTAAATTGTCATGCCTGACACTATGCATCAGTCATATTATATTACGCACATTTTCACAATTTGTCAATTGTATTATTAATTATTTCATGTTATTCGTGCGGCTCATGAATTTAAATGCAAATAACTTTTATGCTTAGACTATCAACGCGAATAAAATGAACATTTATTAAATAGTTTAAAGAATCTCCACTTTTAAAATACAAAATCTAAATATCATTATTATTTTCCGTGCTAAATCCGTAGTATTAATGTCATGCTGAAGTTAATATCAGCCTAAAGTTGCGTCTAACACTAATGTTGTTAATCGAAATACCCTATTTAGTCAGATATTTAAACGATTAAGTGTTTAAATATATTTCGACATATTTTTTTTTAGATGGCCAATAGGATTATCCAAAGTTACGTACAACAAAATCATATGGATTCAATTGTAATAAGAATTAGTTCATACGTAAGTACGTAGCATGGAATCCGCCAGGGTAGGGACTGGATTCGTGATAACTCGTGACTCGCGAATTAAACTCAGAAGAGTATTCGAATTTATTCGAATCATGTGATCGAATTATTTTTTCGAGTTTTTTTTTTTTTTTTTTTTTAATATTATTTATTATAAATGTATTTTAAAAATAGAATTAATCAATTTGTAACCATAGGTTACTGTAACCGTAACTAAGATCAGGTGTAACGTGACTATCAAAA